TATTTTACAGTTTGTTGATGACAGACGATGCAGACCGAAGCACGAGGGGATAGAGAGAGGGGTATGTGGAACGGGTGAACCAGTGGAATCCCACTACATCCCTGGATGGGATCCACACGATGCCAGAGGGCAGCAACATACATATATATGCCAACCGCACATTATGGCCGATGTAGAGTCTATTTAAAGCCAATTTTATGACTCTCACTTTGTGTTTCCTCTTCAGCGTTTGTTATTTTTGCTCTCTTTATTTTCGTTTAGTTTAATGGGGTAACTACAGTGGTTATAAAATAGTACCAAAACAATGTGGAGTTCTTTCAGATACATTAAAATGTAAAAGAAATAGTACTTCACAAGCAAGAATTCAAAGCTTTGGCACCACTGTACCACAACATTGTATTTCCCTTGACTAATTTCTGTCTAAATTAAGTTGAAACTTCAAATAAAGCCACTATATATAAAGTTATTTAAAGGAAACAAACAATACACTGATGTCCTGATTAAATAATGTGATATAATTATGAGTTTAAAATGCCATTGAGCTGGTGCTAGTAATTACCCGAGGAGTCGATGGTAATTTGATTCCAATTAACGTAAATCTCTCGCTGCAAACTTGATATCCAGTGTATGTGCATTTACACTCTCCTGTGTGTGTGTGTGTGTGTGTGTGTGTGAGCCGCATTCAGTGGCGGTCGATGGGAAAATTGGCAAGTGGCAATGCAAATGGCCAAGAGGCTTAATGCCTGGCCACACAGCAGGATACACTTGCACACGCTCACGCACGCACAGAGAGCCATGTCCTGCAGTTAATTTGCTGATATTATTGCTGTGATTAACACATACATGTTTATGTGCCCTGACCATGTTTTATATATAAACAGTAAGGCACAACGCACAACATATACACACTCGCACACACACGGCTGCCTGCCTGCCTGTTGGATTGTGGGTGTGGGTGAGAAATCTGTGCATTGCACTTGAATTGACGTTGGTTTCTCACGCACACACAGAGCAGCATGTACTATCCATACAGAAAGATAGATATATCTCTATAGAGAGAGAGAGAGAAACATGTCCTTTGCCAGAATGATAAATGGCTGGACCAAGCGGGCTTATAATATTAATAACACAGACAAAACACTTGAACATGTCGACATGCATAACATTTTGGCTGATACAGACAACAGGACATCAAACCAAGTACAGATAAAGAAAATCAGTTGAACCAAATTGGTAATATAGAATAATATATTTAAATATTAATTTAAGGAAAGGTTTCTTTCAAAAGAAGGAAGTACTTGCTCCTTGTTTTTTGCACGATCTTTGTGAATTTTTGATCAATTTAAAGCTTTAAAATTAATATTATAAAGATCTTTGTATCAAAAAAAGAACTCAAAACCTTATAATATATCCTTTAATATACATTTCTACCATTTCCATTTCTCACCATGTATTTACACGCACATTGTAGCCAAAGTGCTTAGTGTTTATGTGTGTATATCAACTTGTAATTAATTGACTTGATGGAGAATGTAATTTAATTAAGCAAGCATTTCGATGTGACTCCTTGCCATATATATGTATATATGTATATATATCCTTGTTGTTGCCATGGCCAATTTGCTTGGTTTCCATCTACACATCGACATATCCCTGCCACCATTTTCCATTTTCCGTTTTCCCTTTACCCCCGAAAACGACCCAAAAACCCAACCGTTTGTGTTTATCTGCTTGGGTATTTTGCCATGGCAGCCAATTAGTCTTATGGCATTTGGCTTGCCACACGGCGTATGCGTAACGTGAGATTATTAATGCAAATCGGGTTTGCATTGACAGGCCCCAGTTTTGACAGCTTTGAAAGGATTGAAGAGGACATAGAAATGTAATGGGTGTACATTTTGTGGGGTTATTACTCCAGAAATAGCAGTTACTTTGCACCTAATTAGCCACATTTGTTTAGTGACTTTTAATGTTTGATGAGAAATAGGTAACCTGCCGGCTGAGTAAATATTTTGTTGTTTTTCACTTTTTAATAACCTTTACACACCCTTTTTTAAATATCTAGTATAATTGTTTATATTATCAAGAAATGAATTACTCAATATGTTTACATATTATATTTCCTTGCTTTCGTTTCTTGAAATTGTAATAGATTATTTTCATATTTGAAAAAATGTATTGATTCCTGGAAAATTATGCAATTTCATGACCACTGATAAGTGTTCCATAGATTATTTTCTTATTTGTAACTTTATTGATTTAGTACATTTATTGATTCGTGGAAAAATGTTTGAGGTGGTAGGGAAAGGTTATCAAATCTCAAGTTAATCATTCATTGATGATCACTCATTCATTCACTAATTTGTCTTTTTACTTTACCATTTACATATATTATTTGATGTACACAAAAAATTACGAATGTAAACAAATTAAAAAGTACATATAGTATTAAATATTTACTGATTACTTCAGTTTTGATTAAGAATCTTTAAGATGAGTAAAGTTAAATTTGTATAATAAGTTTATTTTTCACTGTATTACACGACTTTTTTATTTTATTTGAAGTGCAAATGGTCTTGAGAAAATTCTAAAATTTCTTTGCATAAATATTGGCAGAAAAAGGCTTAAGAAAGTCTCAACAGCTTAATCTTTGGTTATTGAAACCCCAAGCAGCTGTCAACTGCAAATGCAGATAACAAACGGCTTTCGGCGGTTTGCCCCAATAAGTATGTATATATCCTGCGTTGCTCAGGACTCAAAAACCGCAAAATGGGGGCTTATAGGCCCAATTCGTTGACTAATTCGACTGAAATGCTTAAGTTTTTGATTAATTTAGCGCCGCTTAAAGAGCAAACACATTGGGCAGAGTTGTGTGTGGTTATACATAAATTTTGTTGTTGCCCTTAATTGGCTGACAGCAGTTGGGACCCCGGGCACGTCCATGGAGAAGTTAATTTATTCTAATTAGTCAATAAATCTCAATTTATTTCACAATCAGGCAGGCGACCGTGTGAGTGGTGTTGCTTGTGTGCGGGTTTGCTTATGCTTTAAGGCATTTCTCTCTGGCAAATTGCAAATTGTACACTCGTCCTGCCGCCATTTTCCTTTCTCCCCTGCCTCCTCAAATGACATGTTCAAGCAGCTGGTGCAAGGGCAACTGCAACTGCAACAAATTATATATATACTTGAATATATATATATATTTATGTATATAATTTGGCATAATAATTACTGAGGCATTAAGCAGCACATCACACCTTGCCTCCTCTTGTTATGCGCTTCAATTAAATTACGATAAATTTTGCAATGGCTGCCGGGGCCATATTCAATTCGTTTCCCAGTTGGGTAAATAATATTTGGATTATTCTAAAAGCAAACAGCTAAATTGCACTTGGTAAAGTATGCACGTATTATTCATATCATTTAGCCAATTATATTTTTAACCAATTCAATTTGTTTCGAGGTAATATAGGTGTTAGAATTACAAAAATCTGCATCTCTCTTTTAATACCCTTGCAGGGTGTTATATTTTCATTCAGAAGCATGAAACGCAGTGAAGGAGTCATTTCCGACCCTATAAAGCATATATATTCTTGATCAATATCAACAGACGAATCTTTTAAGGCATGTAGGAAAGAAATTAAATTTTTTTAATTTTTTTCACAATTTTATAACCGGTTTTTACATCTTTGACATTTTGAAAAATTGTAAAATTTTTAAAGATTATAAAAATTTTATATAGGTGTGCAGATTTATTAAACTATTAAAAACTAGCACAGAACAGCTTTCCGATTGGAAAAAAATGCATTTTTGACTTAGTTATGAGTTTTTTTAAGATGCGGGCTTAGAAAAATTTATAGATAAATATAGACCCAAAGAATGCCCTTACAGGGTATTATATTTTCATTCAGAAGCATGAAACGCAGTGAATGAGTCATTTCCGACCCTATAAAGCATATATATTCTTGATCAGTATCAAAAGGAGAATCTTTCTAGGCATGTAGGAAAGAAAATAATTTTCTTAAAATTTTTTCTGATTTTTTAAATAGGTTTTTACATCTTTGACAATTTGAAAAATTGTAATTTTTTTTTATATTTTAAAAATTCTATTAAGGTATGCAGATTTATTCACCTATTAAAAACTAGCACAGAACAGTTTTCTGATTCGAAATTAATGCACTTTTGACTTAGTTATGACCGATTTTCTTTGCAAGGGTACCCGAAATTTTGCTTTCTTTCTTGTTTGTATTTGTATTATTTATACACAAGTTATAAATATAAATCATAATGCATCAATAAATTTCTTCAAATATTTAGTTACATCAATATACCTTGCAATTATGTATATTGAGTTGATATCTCACTCAATTATTTTTGCTAGCCACCATTTAATTATCATAATTCGAAATTCATACATTCCCGTTAGCCAAGCAAATTAGGCAAATTAAATATTATAAGCATACGCACAAAATACACAGGCAATTGAATATTTATGGGTAAATATGGGCATTAGATTGGGATTATTGAGAGCCAAATATATAGTGTTTAAAAAAGAGTTTAATTAAATTAAATGGCCACAATGGTGACTATGCTCTTTGAGCCATCTTTGGCCGGCAGCAAATAATGTCACATTAAATAAACTCAATAATCCCACAGAAAAACATAACATTTTTCATTCAATTTGCAATAAGCATGGAGAGAAAAAAATGGAGAAGAAAAAGTTTCTCTTTGTTGAAAATTAAATTAAAAAGTAATTAATTACTTTTCTTTGAAAATGAGTTTGGTGGGATAATGGTCCTTTCTTCATATTTCTAATATGATTGTTCTGAAGATCTTTAATCATTTAGGATGCTTTTGATATTATAGGGTTTTTAAACCCTTTTGTAAAGGTGCTTAAAGGATGCATTGTAATTGTACGAATTTGTAATCTAATTTTTTAAACCTTTTAAGAATTTATAAAATCTTTAGCAATTATTTATATTTAAGATTAATTTTCTCACCTGTGTTTCGGTAACCATTAGCAGTTTGGCCATTTCGGTGCGCTCACTGGAGCTGAGATACTTTTTCACCTCGAACATTTTCTCCAGTTCAAAGATCTGGCGTCCTGTAAATGTTGTGCGGGCCTTCTTTTTCCGCCTGGCATCTGTGGATCCCGAATCGGAATCATCTTCGGTTGTCTCCAGGGCACTGTTAGCATTACTTTGCTGCTGCTGGGCGGGATTAGTACTGGCTCCCGGTGAGCTATTGGCCACCAGTTTGTCCCGCATCAAACTGTCGCTGCTGCCTGTGGGACTTATGTCTGGCGGTAAAGCCACCGTTGCATTTGTGGCCGAAGTCAACTTCTTTTTCTTGGCCGCCGGTTTTCCCGAGTTTTCTGCAACAAAAACAAAAAGGAGAAAGAGTATTTATCGACTTGTTGCCATTTGTTTTTTGTCTTGGCCATGTGTTTTCCTGGCTTTTATATCGAATCGCAGCTGTTTAACCTCAATTGGGTCTCTTGGCTGGCTGTCATGTCATAATTGCTTTTGCAATTTGCTTGTTCCCTCTCCGTCAAATGTAACAGCATTTGACTGAGCCAACTTTATTGTCTTTTGTTGTGAATTTTTCCCTCTTCTTGGCTTTTATGTATTTATCCTGTTATTTCTTTTAGTTTTATGTTGATTTTTTAAGCTTTTCATTGGTGAGTTATGAGGATTTTGATGATCTCTTATAAGACTATCACAAGTATACATGATTTAAAAGATGTAAAAATATCTTAAAAGCATGCTAAAATAGAGAGGGGAGTACTAATGTTTATAGTGACCCAAAAACTTTTATTTTGTATAATTTACTTGTTTGTAAAAGATAATTTTTTAACGAATTACATTTAAAGTTAATTATTTTAATGCAAATAAAATGAATTTAACTGTATTATAATACATTAGCCGCTATGTAGTCTTTAATACAGTATTTTAATATATTTTTCTGGGATATTAGGAACAAAATTAAGTTAATTTTTGGTCTTGCGAGGCAGACTTAAGGATCAAATTAAGAGGTACAACAAAAGGCTTTTAAAATTAAATTATAACTACAGCTAAGCATAAAACAAATCCTATTTAAATTTATTTAGGTTACCAAGAGCATTTTTAATAGTTAATCCTATTTTTCAGAGCATTTCTGAACCCTCTTTGGTGGCCAATGGCTGACTTGTAATGTTGAGTGAAAACAAGTGTTAACAGGGCTATATAGGCTATATGGTTTTGGACTTGACTTGGCGGGGCTAAAACGTGTCTGGCATGAGTCGTTCGTTCGTTCGTACGTTCGCTTGTTGCCTGGACAACTTCAATTACCAATGCATAATTGAAATCTAATTGACAGTTAAATGCAAAACGTTCGATATCGCTGCCGCTGTTGCTGTCGTTGTCGTTGTCGCATTGCTAATACGCCGCGTGGGCCCCCAAAACGGCCTCATATGGCCCACTCGCAGAATGCATGACACTGTGATTAATTAGGCGGGGCGGACGGATGGACATGTGTGTGGACTGGCGGTTTGGGGCGACATCAGTGCCATTGCCGACGTTTGTTTTTCACGCTCGTCTCCTCTATGGCATTGTCGCCGCCACTGGCAATTGGCAATTTTCACTATCGAACACAACCAATCCCCTTTTCCCCCCCTTCTGAGGGAAATGAGAAGCCGCGTCGAGTCGTTTCCACTGGAGTGTAAAGGGCGCCCCAATGGCGCGAAATCAATAAAACTAAATGGCAAAACAAAAGCGAATGCAAAACAACGAATACAAAATACAAATAAAAACAAGAACAAGTGCTGGGGAGGGGGATAGTGGGGTACTAAGCGTTAAAAGCCCAATAACAACAGGCAGGCAACTTGTGCAATTAGAGCAACAACAATAAAAACTTTGCACAAATGTTTGTTTATATATTTGCCGTGGCCACTGCTGCTGCTGCTGCCGCTCTTGTTGTTCTTAACGCCAATTGGCAATTGCCATGTCATTTCCATTAGGCCCAGTCAGGCAGCGGGGCATTTAAATGTCGTTTCGCCAAGTAAACAAACAAAATAAAAGTAAGGAGGTTTAACTACAATACCCAAAAATCTACACTTAACCAAATTACTTCATAAAACAGCAAGGATCAGTTTAATAGTAACAGTTAAAAGTATAATCAGTTAAGTAATATGATATTTCCAGATATGATATGATATAATATGATATATTAAGATATGATATGAAATAATATGATATTATATGAAATATCAAAATATGATATGATATATCAAGATAATATGATATGATATGATATAATATGATATGATATTATACGATATAATATGATATGATATAATATGATATGATATGATATGATATGATATGATATGATATGATATGATATGATATAAAAATAAAAAAATAAAAATTTGTTAAACAGTGATATATCGAATTTTAAAATACTTAATAATATAGCATTTTTAATTAAAAACTCAAAAATATCGAACAACTTTTTTTTTTATTAAATTATACATAGACTTCTCGTAAAAGAGATTTCTGCTCTCTTTATTAAAAAAAACCTATTAATTTTTGGCGGATATCTATTGGGTATAGATCTTGCAGATAGTCTTTGAGTTGAAGAAAATTAGGTAATTAATTAAATAAGACAACAGGACCTATGATTTATATTTTATAATATTTAATATATCTATAATTTCCTTAAGATTTTTGCAACTTGCAAATAATAGCAGAAGCTTTATATAATAACACTAACATATAACTAATCAAACAAGCAATGTATGTATACTCCTATTTCTCACTTAAATGTTATTAAGTTTGTTTTCAGTATCTTCCAAAAAAATCACCAACAAATTTATCTCTGTGTAACTTTGGCCTGCCTCGTTTTAATGGCAAGTTCCATTTATGGCAGCTGCAAAACAAGTAATTAAGCGAAAATTAACTGATGACTGGATGTCAAACAATCGGATGTGGCGGCTGGCCAGCGTCTGGAAGTTCGTCATTCGATCGTCTTGCTACATTATTTGTTGTTATTTTTGCTTGCCCCCCAAGTCTGCTACGTGATTTTAATAACAATAAAAATTGTACACAACATTGAGCAATTATCGCGGCAAGCTAATAGGGGAGGAAAAAAACAAAAAAAAAGAAGCTGCTGCTACAAAATTATTCAAATGCTGTTCTCAACTTTTGCTTATTTTGCCCGCCGATTTGCCATTTTGTATTTTAATTATTGTACGAGTTGTTGTTGCCCGCCATGTGCATAATATTGCTAATTGCATTTTCAATATATATATATATATATACATTTTCATGCCATTCCACATTGGGTCGGCCTCTCTTGCGAATTAAATCATTTTAATGCAGCAGTTCAGTTCAAATTCAAATTCAAATTCAAATTGGCAACCAATTCGCTTTCACAAATAAATACAAAAATAACAAAGGCAATCAGCCAAAAGTGCATCTAATTAAATTTTGCACATTTTGTTAAACAATTACAATTTCAATGGCTCATTAATTATCGAAACCAGCGCGATGATGAACTCATATATATATATATGTGTATTTATATATTTCGCAAGCTTTTTGTAAGGTAATTAAAATGGAATGCACAGGAAACATTATCAACTTTATTCCGAAAAACTGTTCATTTAGTTTCAATTAAAATTTTGTTGCTTTCATGGGCTTCTACGAATTGGTTTCTTTTATGACCTTCAAATATATTAAATTCGAATTACTTAAAGATTATTCGATTTTTGAACATGAAGTTCCTCGAAATCTGTACAGTTTCTTATCAGTTCAAACTTTAACAGTTCAAAGAACTCTATCATAATTGACTATATAATTTCCAAAGAAAATTAATAAGTAATTGAAATGCTTAAGACTGATTTTGATAATTAAGTGTATAAATGGGCGCCGAAATCCATACAAAATTGAGTAGCTGACAGACGAACTGAAGCTTAACTGGAGTGTGGTAAATTCTAATGACCTAACCATTAGTGTTGCCAAAAAAAATGTAGAAAAAAAGAAGGCAAAGATGCTGCTGAACGGGGCACAAGATGATGATGCTCGATGGGCATCATTTAAGTTGGCATAACTCGCATACGCCGCGTTGCCCGCCGTACGCTTCGCTGAAGCGTGTTGAGAGCTCTGCGCTCCGCTCAATTGGCAGGCTCGTCGAGCGTTGCCATAGAGCACACATATCTATATCTATCCACCTATTCGGGGCGGCGCCAATAGGAGCGATCACCTTAGTTGAAAAACACTCTAAAAATTCATTACTTCAAAGGGGTTTTTAAGAAAATAAAATACTACATTAAAGAAAGTGAAAAATTAGGTTGAAATTACTTCTTTTACCCTTTGAAACTCTGATTCTTCATTTTAATGACATTTTGATCTATTACCATTCTTTTTTGTCTCAACAAACTTCTTGATCCTGGGAAAACCTGATGTGTTTGATGAAAACAATCTTAAAATTCCCTATCAGATTTCTTATTAATCGAATATTAAGCTATCCTTTGATTATATTTCTGTTCCGTGTAATAAAAAACTTAGTATTTTGTATACTTACCCTTCTTGCTGGCAGACTTTCCTAAAAGTTGGCTCTGTTTGCCAGTCGCCATGGGTGAGTTGTTGCTGTCTCGCGACTTTTTGACCACACACAGATTCAATGGCTGATCGAGCGGAGTTGCTGCTGTTGTGACTGCAACAGTTGCTGCTGCAGATGCAGTAGCTGATGCTGATGCTGATGCTGTTGCTGCTGCTGTTGCTGTTGCATTAGAGGAGGCACTCTCCTCCTCGCTGGCATCGCTCATCGAGATGGAGACACTCCTAATGGGCTGTTGCTGATCCTGTTGCTGATATTGCTGCAGGATGCTGCTCGGTGACTTGGCTGGACCGGTGGGATCAAAGGCGCCCTCGGGCGTTTCCCATTTGATCAGGGTCATGCCAAGGATATCGGCAATGGAGTGAGGTGTGGGACGATTTGGTGGGCGGGCATAGACATGGGCATGCCAATTGGTGGCAGCTCCAGGTGTGGTTGTTGCACTTGCTGCAGGTGTGCTAGCAGAGCGTCGCTGTTGCAACTGCTGCTGCTGTTGGGTATGATGTTGCTGCTGCTGCTGGGGAAGCACTGAGCTGGGCCTAGGGAAAGAGGTGTTTTTTTGATAAGAATAATTTGGAGAAATATGGATATTGTTAAAATAGGTTTTTCTTATGATTTATTATCAATTTCCCGCCCATCCTTACCTGGGAGCCACCGCCTCTAGTTGCTTCTGCAGGAACGTGGTTGGTGGACTATCGGGTATCATTGGACTGCCGCCGCTCGCATTCGACTGACAATTGTTATTGTCGCGGACACGCAACAGGTTGACCAGCTTCTCCTTGCTGCTGGGACTCACCATGGCCGTGGATGTTGGCGGAATGGTCAGGGGATTGCTATAGACATAGCTGGTGGCCATCTTGTTCAGATCGTAGGCGGTGGTGGTGGAGTGCTGCTGTTGTTGATGCTGGATGCTGGACTGGTGCTGCATATGATGATGGTGGTTATTATGATGAAGATGATGGTGATGCTGCTGCTGTTGCTGATCCTTAACAATGCCGTAATTGTGCCCCAAAGCACCGCTAACCATTTCCGCTGCCACCAACTCCGAATCGCGTTCAGTTTCGGGCATCATTTAGGCCACGCTGCCTGTAAAATGAACAGGGGAAAAATTCAAGTTAAAGTCGGTATTACTACGTGAAAGATAGGGGAACTGGTGGGAAGTTAGATTAGCTCGAACAGCTGTGCATTTGTCGTCAACTTGTTAATGGTTTGCCTGCCAACTGGCAACGCCTCCTCTGGTTCCTCTGCCTTCTCTGCCTGCCCGGTAATGTAATTTGTGAACGAACGCCCTCGACATGAAGGCCAAAAGGCTTCGTTTACTACAGGCATCCCTTGGCTTCCACCTTCAACTTCCTCATCCTACTTAGCCCTGAGACCCAAAAGTAATGCAATAAAATACAGCGTCAGTCCGTTGCCACTTGCTGCCCGTGCGCAATGTGCACTGGGAGAAAAAACTCTTGAGAGTTTTAAATTAAATGATTTCTTAAGAATAGATTTTTTGTAAATATTAAATATAGATTTTTCTTGTATTTCTTGCTTTATTATTTAACAATGAAAGAGAGAAAATGTAATATACAGAGGCCTTAGATAATGAAATTGTTACTTTAGTCTGTATTACTATTATTATTAATTTAATAAAATAAAGATTATAGCAAGCTAAATTGATATTCAAATCATTTGCTTTAATACCCTTCCATTATTTCCTATTATATTATTCTTCTGTTTATGTGTCAATTGTTGAAGAGATAATCATAATTAACAGATATTTGTTAGATCCGTATGAGATCAGTTGGTGTCTGGTACTCCGAAGTTTTGAAATTTGTGTTTCTTCATAATCGTGTTTTAAAGAAATAAATAGATGACCTTTAAAAATTAATGGAATTCCGAGTTCTTCGAATTTAAAGTGATCTAAGAGCCTTAAATATGTAAAGTTTAGGTTTATATAGTAAGCTGATTTATGTATAAGACAGATTAGGATGAAAACTAAGAGACATTTCTGAGGAATATGAATTAACAATGTCAATTTATATCTGGAAATATTTACTATTAGTTGGCTATAGATCTGATACTTTTTATTTCAATTTTACTGACTAATAAATACTTAAAAAATAACAGTGTAGGTCAACTTATTTAACCCAACGGCAAGCCTTGGCTTCGGCTGGCTGCCTGAATTGGGTTGAGTTGAGTCGAGAGTCGAAATGGGTTGAATAAGGTTTGAGTTCAGTTTGGGGGTCAGGCGTAGCCTATTTCCTGGCGCACTGCGTTGTGATTTGCATAACAAAATGTTGCACAATCATTGCGAAAGAGAGAGGGCAACCAGGGAGCGAGAGAGATAGAGGTAGATAGATAGGGAGAGTGAGATAGAGTGAAGAAGAGGAAACGAGAGGAAGGATTCAACTAGGCGGCACATACGTTTTCAAGTGCTGAATTCAGCAGGGGCAAAAAGGCGCCATGAGGGGGCCCTTGTGGGCGGTGGGCGGTGGTGTGTGGGGTGTGGGCGGTGTCGCACAGCCTTGTACATTTGTCACTGTGAGCGTGCGTCTGTGTCTGTGTTATTGCGAGTGCTGGGCTGCAAAATTTATGGCACAGCATTTGAGTGTGACACAATTTAACTTAATTCGTTAAGTCAAAAGCGTGTGAAGCGTACAAGGAAAATTATTATATTATATTATAATGTTGTAGATTTTGAGCACTAGATAAAGTGAACAGGGAGGTTTTAGGGGGTTTTTAGGGAGTCAAGTTACTAATTTTATTTTAATTGATGCAATTTTTATGATCAAGTGGGGAAAAGGAGTGTTTTTTACGGATTATATTATATTATATATTTGGGAACTAAAAAACCTTAATCAGTAACTATTTTACTACAAATACATATTTATAATTTATGATATAAATCTTCTAAATAAATGAATTCATATTAAATGAATTTTAAGGCAGTAAATACATCTTCCTGATATTAGAAAACAATGTAAAAAGATCTACATCACTTTAAAATTAAGATAACAATAAGATTATAAACATGGGGGATTTTTTACTATAAAGATACTTTATCTCGCTCATACTTAAGTGATTAAAGGAAATACATTTTAAAATATTGTAAAAGGCTTTGCCATTATTAGGCATTTTAATTTGATCTAAATAATTTGCTGTTCATTATTCATCAATTTAAGAGATATTAAGTATTTAAAATAATATAAAAGCACATTGCTATATTTAAAAAATGAAATTGAATATATTTTCGATACTGTTTTTTTTACAAAATAATCCAAGCTAAAACTTTCGGTCATTTAATAAAATGCATTTCAGTTAAATCATTTTACTTTCCTTTAAATAACAAATGTATGTACCTGAAGAACCCTAAATTAATGCTTTAATAAATCTCTGAATCACCTTTAAACCACTTAATTTGCAAGTAAAAAATTTAAAGTTAATTTGCTTGGCATTTTCGCGGCATCGTTATGCCGTTGTAACAACTCATAACTGGCATATTCCCCGAAAGCAATTTAAATTAATACAAAACTGCACACCAGCCATAGCACACACACACACACACACACACACATACTATGGCTGTTGCCACCCAAAGCACCACCCACTTTCACAGTTCGCGTCGCAGTTGGCGCCGCAGTTGAAATGTCAGATTCAAAGAGCGCGCGCTCAATAAAGTGATGCGTGCTTAAATGTTTTTTATTACCGTTCAGGCGTCAGCAACAACAAAAGGATGACACGAACTTGCCACACTCACACTCGCACACACACTCATTGTGCTCTCTCTCTCTCGCAACATTGTATCGCTTTCTTTCTCTCTGACTCGTGTGTTGCCAGCAACATGTTGCCAAGGCCTTGCAAAATCACTTAAAGCGAAATAAAATAAAATGGCAAAAAGCAACAGCAAAGCCAATTCAAAAACGGCCAATGCAGGGGGAGGGAGTGAGCCAAGAAGGGCAGCGGGAGAGAGGGAGAGAGAGTGAGCAAGAGATGTGGAGAAGTAGAGAATGTGTGCTGTTGTTGCTGGCTGATTTGGGGGACATATTCAAGCAGCGGAAGTGAGGCAGGCAAGCGGAAGAAGTTATTTCAATTGCCTTGCCAGCAAGCGAACAGGAGGGGTCAGAAAGTGGGGGAGGGGGAAAGGCCTGGTGATGGAGAGAGTGAGTGAGAAGTACTACACTAGGGAACAAAATATATAGGAATTAAAATGGATTAAAGTAATAAAATTAATAAATAACTACTTAAAGTTAGTGATCCTTTTTATGTTCATTATTTGTTAGGCTATTTATAACAGTTTAGAACTTTTTTTAACAGTTTATAAAAGCCTTTAAATGTTTATAACAGCCTTTACAAGTTTATACCGTTTTGAAAACGTTTATAACAGTTTTTAAATGTATAATTCCCAATTGGATTTTTCAGAAAAGCTAATTCAAATTCATTATCTTATTTCAATAATTCTTAATGAATTATTCTGAACAAATTTATAAAATATATTAATTATAAAATTGTTTATATTTTATCTATTTTAAAACCCAACATTTTCCCTCAGTGCCTGCGATAAATGGCGCCCAAAAGAAGAGTGCCCGTGCCCTGTGGGCACGTTCAGTAGCTTAGCGAGTGGCTGTGAGTGTGTGTATTAGTTACCTGGCACGCTTCTGCCTCGGCCTTTACCACCACTTCTCCACATCTCCCCATCTCCTCCGTCTTCTACCCTCATCAATTCCCTGCGTCCTTTTGGCCCTGTGACCCCCCTCCTTCAAAACCCTAAACTCGAGCTGTGTGTGTGGCACAGGACCCAAGTGTCGAGTGCCAGGACGAGGGCTAATGGCATTTAAGTTCTGCCCGCCATGGCACATGTGTCAGCTCAGGAGCGAGCTCAGGACGAGAATGTGCGGCGGAATATGTATATATGTATATATGTGTATATATATTGAATGGAATGTTAAAGATGGTGGTTATAAGAGCAAAAACTGAATCCTGCAGGGAAGCCATTGTATAAGCTTGACACTAAAATAGCTAAGCGAAAATCTTTTGCACTTTATTAGTGAGGGTTTTTTGTGTATGAAGTCGTTGGGTGATATATCTTAAACGGTATATTATTTATTTTAAGATATTAATAAGAAAGAGCTAAGATAGATATAGTCAGCTTATAGTACCATATCTCAAATGTATTATATTTCTTGCGTCTTAACCTTGTTTAATGTCTGTCTTTTAAGATGCTAATTTAAGAACATATTCTTTAGTCTTAACTGCTCTTAAAACATTTCTTAATACACCTAACATTTTATAAGACTTGAAAATGCGCTCCTGTTTCTAAGCGAAATGTTATATATTCTTGCTTATTGAAAATTCTACATTTTGGGCATTTTGACAACTTTCTGCCAGCCATATTTGGCCTTAGGGCTTACGAGATGATTTTTTGGTCCCGTCTGTGTCTCCTCAGCCCGTATTTTGTCTATTTTATTTCATTTTCATTTTATTGCATTGACAACAACGCAACAGCACACACATTCCACAGGGTCAGAGGGACAGGGCAGGGCAGGACAGGCGGAAGGAAATCATTTTGTTAGATGTGATGTGAGAGACTGTGACTCTACTTGTCTGACGTTTCGTTGGAATTTTAACAAGCCACTCTCGAATCATCATCATTGAGGGTCCTGTGCTTCATTTGGCCCACGGCAGCTTTCGTCAGAGACTCTCTCTATCTCTGTCATTCGTTTTTGTTTCCTTGTGCGACTTGTTCACTTAGCGAAAAAGTATATTTATTCAATTTTTACAAAGTGGAAAGTTGCTTTAATTTTATAAAGCTTTTGTTTGGAAAGAGTTTTCTCGGAAGTATTATTATAAGAAAAAGTCACATTTAAATAGCTCAAAATGTTAAATTGCTTTAAAAGGTGTAGAAAAGTATGCTATGAAATTTGGTAATCCTTTAATTTCGGCACTTAAGTTACTTTTTTCATTTTTCTTTCGTGTGCTTCTGTTGCCTTGTTTTTTCTTCATTTTCCTCTTTCTTTCTTTCCCACACTTTCACGTTCGTCATCGTCTTTGCTTTTCAGCTTTTGGTTTGACATTCTGGCTTTCTTCGTCTCTCTTGGCCG